TCGGGTTTGTGAATATCGTCGCTGTGGATTTAGTGGGGGAGTGTGTTCGGTTCCTTGCAGAGAAGCAGCGAAAAAGATCGGAGTGATAGCCGTTTTCTTTTAAGTACAGGTCTTCGATTCCAAGGTGGTAGATGGAGTTTGGAAATGTGGAAATTAGAAAGTAACGTGGAGAACACACCACCATGGGGAACCCCCGGTTTAATTCTTCTCAATTTGGACTTTTTACCTTGAAACAGTACGGATAATTGCCGATCGCTCAGGTAGTTCATAGTCCACCTCTTCAACGCTGGAGGGAGCGTGGATTTTTCAATATCAAAGTTTTTTGACAAGTCCAACCCTACAAGGATCGTCCTCTCACTGGGTGATTTTTGGTTGAGATCTTAAACTATCTACGTATGCCACAAACTGCTGGTGGTGCTGGACACTTTGCACAGAGCATGCTGTTGGTCTGCTAGTGTCCACAAGTCTTCACTACAGAGGAAAGGAGAGTTGTGGGGGCGATAAGAGTCCCCTTTATTGACTGGTTTCCCAGGTTTTAGTAGTGTGACTACTCTTCCATCTTTACACACATCAGGTATTTAAAGAATGGTCAGCGACAGGTTGAAAACCCTAGGTTAAGTAACTTACTCCCATCGAGCTTAGAAGCTTTAGCATTAGCTGAGCTATAGTGGTCCATTATAGGCGCTTCGGACAAAGTGTAGCTCGTTGGAGCGAAACGGAAGAGTGAGAAATATCTCAAAAACTAAAACAAGATTTTGTGAATTATCATTTATATAGTAAATATATATTTCATGGAAGTTGCAACGTTTCTTATGCGATGTTTAAGGTAATATTGTTATAAATTTATTGTTAATATTAATATATATGTTTTACAAATCATCGGTATACAGTTAGCCACTTTGAAATTCGAAAGAAAACCCGTTTTTTCCTCCCACCCTACTCCCTTCTATCTTAAAAATAGCTTTATAATATAAAAGGAAGAACCATACATTGTTCAATGTAAATTCACCATAAACACTGCTCAGCTGTTCAGCTGTCAAAGGAACATCAGGGCATGACATAACCTTTTAATTTTTACTTTTCCGATACTTGCGCGTATTTTCTCGTAACAACAGTAATTTTAACAAATTTTAAATAAATACAACAAAGTTTTGTAATATAATAACAAACGATGTATTTAACGCGTCGGTTACCACGACTTTGCACAGGCACATCACAGTTGCTTACAACCAGCAGCGGAAGATTCAATAGCAAAGTAGCTGCGTCGGAAGATCGCATTGAAATACCTAACCGGGTACAACGTTCTCCTACGGACATATTAAATGCATTGGCTAGCACAGTAGGACGTGATCCAACGGCACCACATTATAAATATCATGACGATCCCTATTTAATACCAATGTCCAATGTGGGTAAGCGTACATTTGCTATGGCACAAGAGGCCGGACGTAAAGCTGCTAAGTTTATAAGGGAAGAACATCGCGACCTTTTTAAGGTAATTTTTACGGTATAATTAATTATTTTTTTATATTATGTTACACATTCAATTTGTTTAACAGCACCAAGAAGCTCAACCGTCTATTGAAGCATTTGCACCACAAATGGTATTTACAGAGGAATCCGATGTTAATGCTGATACATTACAAAGCTTGATTCGACACTCCCAAATAACCGATGCCATAACAGTATACAATTTAATGAAGCAAAAGGGTATTGAAATCAGCAACGATTCAAAACAGCAGTTACTTGAGCTAATATGCTTTTACAATAATGAGGAACCATTGCCGGAAGAGTGGATTGAGGAACGTTGGTTTAAGGCAAATGCAGATGCACGTGAGCGCAATCGTAAAACATGGAAGGATGGCGAACTAGCTGAACAGCTTTTCGGTGAAATAGAACCAAAAACTGCGCAATCGTATGCCGCACTTATAAGGGGCATGGCAAAGTATTTCCAAGTGAGCTTTGTGATATTTTTTTAAACATAGAATGAATTTAATTAATATATAAAATTTATATAATAGGCTGAACGCGCTTATGCACTACTACAAGAAGCCACAGGGAAACAATTTGAGTTAGACACGCAAACTTTTAACGCCGTTATAAGTGTATCGAATTTTTTAAAAGAAACAGCGGATCAGCGCTGGGAGCTTTGTCGTGACTTACTTCAACAAATGGCTCATCAACATTTGTGTCCTAATTTGAGCACATTAAATGCGTTACTAGAAGTAGTAAGCACTTTCGGCAACTTCAAATTTGCACGCAGCACCGCTCTAAAAGTACTCGCAGAATTCAAACAATTGGAAATTGAACCAAGCYTAAGTACGTACTACTATCTGTTGATTATATTCTGTCGAGAGCGAGGACCTGTTTCACACATCATAGTCGATATCTTGAATGAGATAAAGGGCCGCGAATTTACTATACAGCATCCGAAGGACACATATTTCTTTGCTACCGCCATGGATGTGTGCCGCAATCACTTACATGATAAATCCCTAGCAAAGAAAATAGACGAATTATTACATACTGGAAATAATTACGATTTGATTGGTGATACTTATAAAGAGTCGGTATACTATCGACATTATTTCGCGCTGCTCTGTCAGACTGAACCTATCGATGTGTTTATGAAGATATACGATTTACTTGTACCTAATGTGTACATTCCAGAACCGGGTATAATGGAAGAAATATTGAAAGCTGTCGAAATGAATGGCGCTGTCGAACTTATGCCGCGCTTGTGGTCCGACATGGTGGTTTTTGATCACATATCACGTGAAAGTTTAGTCACACGTACACTCCAAATATTAGTTGATAATCCTGCCCACGAAGATATACCTTCTCATCAATCCATACCCGAGCAAGTGGGTAAAATCGCGTTGGATATTTATAAGAAAATTGCCGAACCCGAAGGACGGCGACCAAAGGATTTGCAGTTTACAGGCAAAATGATCGGTGATATATTGATATTATTAGTGCGAAGTGGGGATTTTGAAAAAGCCAGCGAGGTGTTTACCCATATCGACAAAAACCAACATCGCATACCGGGCACACCTTCCGAGAAATGTCTTCAGGAATATGTTGACAGTTGTATTGAGAATAAGGCGCCTACAAAGGCTCTAACTTGTTTGCAATATGCTGTTGAAAATAATATGGACTCACAACCAATGGCTGAAAGAATAAACGCCGGTTTCACCCTTAATGAGGTACATTTATCGAAACTTAAATCACTGGTTGGAGAAAACTTCGTAAGCAAGTGAATTTGTTAAAAAGGATGATCTGTAGTTATTTTGTATTTAAACTAGTTTCGTAATGATTGAGTATCTTTGTTGTGGCAATAAAGTTGTTACTTTAGAACAAATGTGAAATTCAGGTTAATTGTTCAACTATATAAAATTATAGATAGAATTTTTTTTTTATTAAACAAAAACTGGTTAAAATCTACAAACAGCGTAAAATTCGATTCGCGTAAGATAAATGCTTATAAAAATTCACATAATATACGGAATTAGACTAGAGATTCTTTTCTTATATTCGCAATTGTCAATACTGAAGTTTTATCGACGCTTTTCCGTCTCGTCTTTAACATTCTCCCAATGTATACCATCATGCGGTAATTCACTCTGGATGAATGGTGATATCCAAGTCAAGTGCATACGCTTGCCCAAAACCATTTCCAAATTTCGTTGTAAGCCAAGATCATACCGTTTCGCATCCCGCTCACAGTCCTTACCCCCACGTATTATAAATGGAGCATGATAAGCAATAAGCACAATAGAATAAGCACTTGTAATTATATTGAGCATGTAGATGAGCAAATAAAAATTTTGCCACGAAACATCGAGGCAGAGCATAAACATCGGAAATACGATTTTGATGGCGGTAAACCAATTGACGTAGGACTCCGAGTGCAGCCACCAAAAATAGATACTGTTATAAATGGCAGCATATGTGGCACCAATGGCCAAATAAAGAACAAAGAAAACAAAATAACGATGATTTTGATGCCCAATGCATGACCCAGTAAAGCCGCAATGATGATCCCGTTTGAGTATGCATGTATCACATATGTTACAATGCCAAGAACGTGGTGGAGCCAACATTTCACACACCGAACAATAGCGCCAATAGAGACGTTGACGTTCATTTGTCGGTGGCATTAATACCACAGCTGCAAGAAAAGAACGATGTATGAATTAATTTAAATGGATGATGTTTCCATGCACAAACTGACTTCTAGCACTTGTGTCTACTAGCATGCATGCTAGCATATTCGCTTTCAAGTTAAATAGCAAGAATATTCCAAATAAGCATGTAAGCCAATATATTGTTCCATTCGTCGCATGGAACTCAGGGAGAACAACGGTCAACTCAAATACAAACGTTATTGGTATGAAAATTATCATCATTAAGCAACATCCAATATCGCGCAAAGTGCGCGGAAAAAACTTACGCCGCAACCGCATATTTAATAAAAGAAATTTAATATGATTATTAGTCTTGTATTTTAAAGATTATTTAACACTTTTAAGTAATATAAATAAATATTTTCTACAGATTTTTGCCTATTTGCAACGAATATTCTTATTTTTCTGAATAATTATATTCTCTAAAACCAGAGTTACCGCGTTTATATTATTTGTATTTTATAGGCGCGTTTTGATTTTAGCCGGAAATAGTCCAAAGTAATATTATATATTAATATAAATTTATATATTATATTATAACATACATATTGACTTTTCATTATATTTATTTGTAAATACAAGTTTTAACTTTTCTGGTGAGAGCATTTTAAATATTTAATATTTAAAATATATTTTCTGTGATGATAAGTTTTAAGGCTGATATATAAGCATATAACATCATTAACGTAACTACAATTTTTTTATAATTGAATGCTATTTTATAAGTAATTTAACAACTTTGTTCACAAACAAAAAACAAAAAAAAACGATAAAACTTTTTTTAAACTTATAATGAGAAATTATTTATTGTCAAAAAACAACACTTTTATGAAAAATATTTAGCAGTTACAAATTAGGTTTAAGTTTTTACTCTGAAAGAGTTCTACGTGTTTGACGTAACTTATGTTGTCTTCTGTTTCTCTTCCGCGATAACCTTACTAATGGCATACCTTCTACCTCATCCCAATTCGCGCCATCTTCGAATAAGTCACTGCTTAAAAAAGGTGACAGCCACACCAAATACATACGTTTACCAAAAATTGAGCGCAAATTGGTATATATATCTCTACCATAGGGATAATCCAAACGTCTTTCATACGAAGTACCTCCATTAATAATTGGTATCCAATGAAAGACCAATAGTATGGACGATAAAACAATAGCAACTACATTCAGATTATAAAATATCAGTGGTAAATTATCCCATATACCACCATCAATTGTCATTAATATTGGGCAAATCATTTTATAGAAGCTGAGAAAATGTAGAAATATTTTAGCGTGCACCCAAAACATGTAATATGTAAGGTAGCCGATAGATATCGCTGAACCAATAAACATATAAAACAGAAACAAGGCGAAAAAACGAAAATTGTAGTGGCCGATGCAACAACCCGTGAATACACAATGATGATCACGTTTCAAAATGCATGTTTTGCAAGCTGAAAAAGAACACATTTATTAAAAATTTAATGCTTTATTATATATATATTTTTTACCTTTGCAGTGATACGATCTTGGAGGCACCAACYTTAAACAATGCTTACAGGTGTACCAGCCTTTGGTGTGTGGTTTTTGTGGTATTACCGAATCCAAATTTATAGCTATAAACAATTTAGTATGATTAGATATATATATATATTTTTTTTTTCACTAACAAGTCACATTATTGTATTTACCATCCACACTGGTGTCCACCAACATCGCAGCAAACATATTCCCATAAATATTTGTAAATAAAAATACGCCCAACGTAAAAATGAAGTTATGCATAAACGTGCCCGGTGGATGTATAGCCGGTACAACAATAACTAAATCAAATAAGGCTATTGGCGGCAGAAATAATGCAATTAGCAGAAAACAAAAAATATCACACCATCGCCTGGGAAAAAAATGTTTCCGTAACCGCATTTCCATATTGGTTATGGTTAGTAATGTTTAAATGTTTTACATAAATCTAATTTAGATGTTTATCAGTATTTATGTTTTTGGTGTAGCACAATTTTATATGGAAAATGCATCAAGAGCAACTGACTTAAGCAACTAGTTGTTTATTTGTCGTAGACTAACTAACAAATAACAATTTTTGTATGAAAGAGAGCCGGTGACTGTTATCACGTGAAAAGCGAAAAGATAAGTTAGCAAAGAGCGCAGATATTGTGTGAACCAGGTGGTCAGACAACACAACGTCATTATTTAAGCAGTAACGGCTTTAAGCAACTAACAATAACTCAACTTTAGTGGAAAGGCATACGTTAGAGTCAGATCAATAAATCCCGAAATGCTAAAGTATTCTCGGGCTTTATCAGATAACATAAAATACATAATATTTAGAAGACTGGCCCAAAAACTCTTATGTTTACTTTCACTTTCCTAATCGGTCTTTTAGCCACAACATATGTTTAAATACATAGTTCTCATTACCCTTGTGCCATGCTCATTACTCACTTGTACTTAATAATACATTAATTACATCATATATCCACAAGCTGTATTGATAAAAAAATAGCACTGAAAAGTTCGGTAACCCTGAAAATTACAAAAACAATGTTACTTTGAAAATCATAATCAAAATAAAAATCACGAAGACAAAACAAATGTCAGAAACTAAAATATTGTGAATTGTTTCATTTTCAAGAAGCTGCGTGTGGCCAACAACGTGTTTGTCTACAAAAGCGCAATTGGGCGAATTTTATTTTGGTTTTTTACCAAAATATAGTTATAAAACAGCACTTTGTTGTGCTTTGTCATCAAAACCAAGATGGTTCGTCACAACAATCAGTTGCCCGACAATTTACCGCAGCTCCAGAATCTTATAAAACGTGATCCCGAATCATACAAGGATGATTTCCATCAACAGTATCAGCATTTCCTTAGTAGTTTGGAAGTGTTTGCCCTCAATCCTAGTGAGGAGAACAAATCTTTAGATGAACTGGTGATGTTTATAGCGCAGGTTAGTTCATGCAAATTGTATTTATTTAATACACTTTTAACAAGTGTTTTTAAATGCAGGTCGCGCAATGTTATCCGTCTGAATGTGAAAAATTCCCACAACATCTAGTGGACCTGTTGAAAAATCATGCTACAACATTGGATCCCATTATGCGCAATTGCTTCGTTAAGGCTTTGATATTGATGCGTAATAAGAATTTGATACCAGCTATTGATTTGTTGGAATTGTTCTTTCAACTTTTAAGTTGTCCTGATAAGAACTTGCGTTCTTTCCTACAAACACACATAGTAAATGATATCAAAAATATGAATGCAAAGCACAAAGATATGAAACTTAACTCGGTATGCTCAATATTAAGTTTGCAATTATTAACATTTGCTGAAATCTTTTATTTCCAATAGACATTGCAAAATTTCATGTACTCCATGCTGAAAGATGCCAACCCAAAGGCTGCCAAGATGTCAATAGATATTATGATTGAGTTATATAAAAAGAATATTTGGAATGATGAAAAAACCGTTAACGTTATAGCAACAGTAGGCTGCTTTTCAAAAATAATGAAGGTATGTTGAACGAAAATAATAAAGGGATGTTGAAATAATATTAATATTTTTATAAACAGGTGCTCGTAGCATCCTTAAAATTCTTTTTAGGACATGATGAAGATGAAAAAGGTTCCGATGATTCCGACAGTGACAACGAAGTAGACCTCAAAGGTGCTATCATGCAAAATCGTGTTAATAAAAAGACAAAGAAGCGGAGGAAGCAATTAGAACAAATTAAAAAGCAAGCCGTAAAAGCGCAGAAGAAAAAGAAGAATGCGCCGGCTTTCAATTTTTCTGGCATTCACTTAGTGCATAATCCCCAAGGCATGGCCGAGGGTCTATTCAAACAACTGCAGTCAACAAACGAGCGCTTCGAGGTCAAACTAATGCATTTGGATGTTATCTCACGTCTCATTGGTATACATGAGCTATTCTTGTTCGGTTATTATCCATATATTACCAGATTCCTGCAACCACATCAACGACAAGTCACACGCATAATGCAGTTCGCCGCACAAGCCTCCCACGAGTTGGTCCCTGGCGATATTATCGAACCAGTTTTGAAAACAATAGCTAATAATTTCATTACAGAACGTAATTCTAGCGATGTTATGGCCATTGGTCTAAATGCAACACGTGAAATATGCATGCGCTGCCCCTTGGCTATGGGAGAAGACCTATTGCGGGATTTGGCCATGTACAAAACGTATAAAGAGAAATCTGTTATGATGGCTGCACGTTCACTTATTATGCTATATCGTGAACAGTTGCCGGCATTGCTGCACAAAAAAGACCGTGGTCGCTTGACAGAAGCGCAAGCAGAGCGAAAAATTCGCGCTTATGGTGAGGTTGAAGTGCACGAAACGATACCAGGAGCAGAAGCTTTACTTAAGAATTCCAAAGAAATCGATTTGGGAAGTGATGATGACAGCGACAGTGATTCCAATGACGGAGAATGGTTAAATGTGTCCCATAGTGAAGATGAAGGTGCAAATGTGGAAGATGATGATGAAGAGGAGAGTGGTGATGAAGTTGAAGAAGACGAGGATGAAGATGAAAGTGAAGAGGAGGATGAGGATAATGAATGTGAGGGTGAAGAAGATGAAAATAAGGATGAGGAGGGTGAAGAAGACGTAAACTCAAAGAAGTCACAAGATAGCGAACCGTTAAAAAAGAAAACAAATAGTAAGGATGGCGAGAAAAGTAAAGAAAAAGATGGTGTTCAAGTTCTTGGCGTTAAAGAGGCAGCTCAAGAATTAGCTATGACTCGCATTTTCACCGATGAAGATTTCAAGCGCATCAATGCCGCGCAGCTCAAAAAAACGGTTACAAATGCTCGTAAAAGACCACTTGAAAAAGACCGCGCAGAATTTGTAAAATTAAATAATATTGAAATGATTTACAAAAAGCGCAAACACGACAAAGAATCAAGATTAGAAACAGTGAAAGCGGGGCGTGAGGGTCGTGAAAAATTTGGTTGGAAGGACGGACGTAAGAACGAGAATAGTTCGAAAACGAACCGAGAAAATCGCAAACGAAAGAACTTTGTGATGATGCGGCATAAGGCACGATCGAAGGTGAAGAAAAGCTTCCGGGACAAGCAAAAGGCGATGAGAAAGCATTTACTACATCAAAAGAAAATGAAATAAGGGGTTTCGCTGTATATATTTTGTTTGTGTATATAATTTATACAATTGGAATAAACTAAATATAAGCAAAATTGTAAGGTCTTATTATTTCTTTGCATATAAACTTGGCAATCTGGATATTTCAATGAGTTTAATATATTTGATTTTTAAATACATGGAAATTCGTTTAAATATCTTTTTTTTTTACATTTTTATTTCATATTTAATTTCCTTAAAGTAATATTTCTTCATACTTTTATAAGAAATCGTTACTACTTCTGCAAAGTACCGAATAAATATCAGCATTTATTCAGTTTTTATCTCCTTCGCTTCTCTGATTTCTTCATACGCTTCGGTCCTTTCACAAAACACCAATCTACCTGTATAACTTGACCCATGATTTCGGTGCCGTGCAATGCTTCTTTTGCCGCCAACGCATTTTTATGGGTCTCGTATTCGACCAGTGCATAGCCTTTAGAGAAGCCGGTTCGTCGATCCAAATTCAAGTGAATATTCTTAATATCACCAAATTCACAAAATTTCTCTTGGATATCGTCTTCCTGGGCTTCCTCATGTATTGAAGTAACAAATAATATCCAGCCCTCAACGGAACGTTGTGGACCCGGTTCAAGTTCATCCTCATCTTCGTGACGTACGCGCTCATAACTTTGTATGGGCTCTCGGGAATTACTTTCGCTACCAAATCCACGACCCTTGCGGTGCTTGACTTTCTCTTTTAGACGTACAATACCCTCTATAGCAAAATAAATATGTCTTAAGTATTTCTTTCCCGTGTAGGGTTCTCTAATAGTCTAATATGTTTTTACTTACGATCACCATCCTCATCAACTTCAAACTCTTCCGCGTTATCAATGTCGAGCACATCAGCCATTTTTAATTGATATTTGTGTGAAATATATTAAAATAAATGTTCGTTTTTCTTTACAAAATAACTAAACAACGCGAAATATTTCCCACAATGCCGCAAATGGTTAAACGTGAAGTTAGCAATGGTGGAACGACATGAAATATATGGAACATATCTAGGGGGCGTGAAAATTGTAATAAAAATATGCAAAGAAWATCTACCATCGATCTGCTGAAATACTTATATTTTTCATAATAATGATACTTAATTATTTTAAAGTTTATTGTAAAAGYATTTGAGGCTCGAAAAAAGTATATTTACCAATTTTTAATATCCAGATATRTGATTTTTTCCAGAAGCCAGATATGTACCAGATATTTTTTACAAAACTTGAGTTACAAAAGCAAAGTTGGCAAAACTACCCGAAACTTCGTAACCTGACCGTTTGCTTACCAACATTCATTAGGATGACYACCATTTTTTTTTAAATATATTATGTGAAAAGATTGGTTTGTAAGCATAATCACATCAATGTATTGGTGTTTCGGGTAATCACGATTCTCAGTGTCTTTTAAAATATGTACAGCTTTCAATTCTATGACTTTTGGCAGCACCCTGCAATACGTTCAAAATCATGGAACAACCTGAAAATGTCAAATGTGTTTTGACGTTTTCTGATGCAACCCTGTAAAAGGGGTAATCACAATAATGACCAGCTGTTTTCGGGTTTTCATTTTAGTATTTGGTTCGAACTTTTGGCATTTACAAGTTAGTTGGTCTAATTGGAATTTTCTTGCAACTTSATGTGGTTAGTGCTTTAGCTGCAATTTTCTCGGTGCGACGATAAAAGTTAAATTGAAAACAAAAATTTGGTTGCAAATAACGCAGATAAAATTTAATACTTGTTTTTAAATACAATTAATTGAGTATATATTAAATAATCATATATGGCTCCGTGTGMTATTATTGGCTGAACCATTTGCAATCGACATCGATTCGCGTTTGATGATGTCATAATAATATTTATTTTATTTTTGTGTATGAGAAAACAACAATAAGTTGAATCAATGTGAATATATTAATGSTAATGAGAATTTTAATAATATTATTACTTGTGCATACATATTTTTCAACGTTTAGGTTGCGTTGCAGTATCATTGCGACAAAATCAATAAGGATATAAAATTAAACATACCGAATTTGYAATAAATAAAAAGTGCTATTAAAGATTTGTGAAAATTGTTTGAAAAGTTTAATGTCCAACAATAGCGCTGTTGGTTAAAATTTTACTCCTGCCACATACATTTTTGACGACCAGATCATCCGTGTAACCTTGGGGCCGCAACAATATGGTTTTCGAATCAGTGGTCACCGATGTACTAAATAAGGTACTAGGTGATTATGTCGAAAACTTGGATAAAAAACAGCTGAAAATTGGAATTTGGGGCGGTGAGTTTATTACAATAACTATATATTCAATATATACCTAGCATAACAACACAAAAGTCCCATATGTTTAAAAGACGGTAAGGAATTATCAAAAATATACATTGCCCTCAAAATGTATTACAAAGGTAGCCCATATCGAACACATTTATTAAAGTTAAACATGCGAAATTCACATTTTGTATCTGCCTTACTTCGACTAGGCCCAAAATGATTAATTCATCTTTTTTGTTTCGACACTACCTCAGTGACCTTATCCTTCAAAAAAGCTATGTGTATAGTGGTTTGTTTCATTTGTGGCGGAGCGTCAAGCAAATATATATATATAATATGTATTTTCATATAAAACCAAACAAAAAATATATATGTATAAGTATTTAAATGGCTATCATCACTGATCGTCTGTTTCGCTGCCTCTTCGTGCTTGTATGATGTTTGACCTAATTTATTTGTATTATACTTTTTCTACAAGTTTTCTTATTGTTGATGGTATTTATTTGTTTGTATGCTTCTGGTATTTACATATTAACGCACAACAATTCGTAAAAGTACAAATCACCATGTGTGTTGGGTGGGTGGGTGCTCCTGTTGCCATCTTAAGGGAAGATCTAGTGTTTGTGTAATTGCCTTCGCAATAATCAACTGTTGCACGCGGTTGGTGAATCAGTCGTTCTCCATCGCCGTATTGTTTTTATATAAAAACATACATTATAATTTATGTACATACATACATCTGTAAGTGTGTACTTTTTGTATCCATAAAGTTTTTAATGCCTTTATATTGTTATTCAATATATTATAAAATCGAAATTTCACACGTTTTCTAAAATTAAAACAATTCTCGTAGAAGGAGAGCTTAAAATAACAAACATATGTATGTATGTTAAAAAATGTTGCAAAAAATTTCGTATAACAAGCTTCATAAAAATATTTCAAAATTAAAAATTAATAAAGTAAATCAATCTGCGAATAATTTACAAATATTTCGTTTGCATCTACATATTTGTATGTATTTATTTCGTTGTTTTGCATCAATGGAGACATTTTGCTATGACGAATCGCAGAATTCGCTCACAATACTTTATAATAATATATAATGCTTAAAGCAAACTGATATTGTGTCTCAAGCTTATATACATATGTATGTACCTCGTTCTGAGTACCGGCATTGAGTTGACCGACATTTCAAATAGACTTCAGTATAATTCAAACAACGCCAAATCGGCTTCACGTGCTATATATGTATAACTTTCTTTCTAATTAATTATATACATATGTACATGTAAAAGTAAGTATATACTTCTGCAACTTATTTTACTTATGTTATAAATAAATATGTAAATTTGAGTAATTTTTTAGAATTTAATGAATTTTGCAATTCTAAATTAGGGAAAAAATTGAGTTTGTATACACATAATTATGTTTCTATTTATATATATGTACATTGACATTGAACTTTTCCGTTTTTGTTTATTTTCTCATTCCTCTGGTTATTCCACCTTTTTTAACCACTTAACTCCGAAGTGATGTCATTAATTGTGCGGTATTGTTATATACAATATAAAATAAACCAAAAATTGGTGAAATTTGAACGCAAAGTGTAGGACCGCACAATTTGTTACTTTTTGGATTTCATCATTGCTATTCTGAAGATGTCATAAATTCAAATAAAATCTCTTAAAGCCCTATGTCACTTGGCGTATACTTATTTCTTCTTCTTTACTGGCGTAGACACCGCTTACTATATTTACTATGTAAAAAATTAATTAATTCGAATCGGTTCGCTTTACATATGTATGTATGCATTCAGCTTTTTTTCATTAGCTGCATTAACTTGTTGTCCCTGACGACATCGTTTCGATTGCTACGCAACATGGGGCTTCGGCGGCGTTCTTGCACTTTTACAACAAGCGGTTTACAACCACAAGTAGTCCATCTGCAAATTTTCATGTGTACATAAGTATTACATTGAGAATATAAAAAAATTATATGCATGTATTCGAAGTACTTTTTTCTTTAATTACAATATTGTGTAATAATAATGCAGAATACTTAGTTTTGCCATTTAAAACCTGAATATTGTATTTTAGACACTGGTGTGACCATTGGACAAGAATTAATCTTACGATTAGTGCTGAAAAGGATGGGGAAAGTTGTACAATTTCACGACGAAATTTTTTACACCCAGAAGGAAACGTMGGAGACTCTTCAAAAATCGCATCGAATCAGAAACTGAACTATCAAAATCAAGTTATTGTATGGAAAACTTTTTTATTTGTGAATTATGTATAGCTTCGTTGCAATCGAAGTTAACCTTTTTTCTTGTTTTAGTTTAAATTAAGTATCTATCTACATACATATAAACAAAAAATCTGAGAGTAAAGTCATGGATTGTACATTAGTTCGATTGTGGTTACGCCAAGAATTGAATACCGTTAGAGTGAAATGTTTTGTATCGGTAGAAAATATACTTGAAGTAAATTCGATGAATGGTGCCAAGTTGACAGCCCTTAGTTTGATAAAAATACGGGTCCGTTCCGGTTATTTAGAACCGAATGTTGTGGGAATGGTTAAAGTGAAATGCCGATTTGGCTGCTTTTGAGAGTATTTTTTTATCGTAATTCTTTATTTTTCACTAAATAGCCACTTGTTGATTTATTTGCTCCTGTATACACATACATTTGTATGTATGTTCATTTGTAATATTAAAAGCATTTTAGTTATTCGGTGGGCATTTGTTTCACCACTTGGCATCAAAGCGAAATGTACTCAACACAAAAAAATTATAAATCTTTATAGTATATGATATATACATACATACATGCTTATATTCAGCAAACATCGTGTGGTATGACGCCATATATTTTTAGCTCCTCTAAATGTATGAATGTACTTAAGTATATGTTTTTAGAATTAATATACGCAAACTTTTTCTCAACTTTTTTTCTCTAAATAATTGCTCTTTTCATTAACTTTAATTAAATATATGTACATATGCGTATGTGGCTGACTTTATAGAACAAAGCCAAGCTTTTATTCTTGATTTGCTTGCTTTGAGCTGTGTTTACGCATTTACACGTTCCACATTTGTTCTGTATTGTAACAAATACACACTTTTATGCTGTCTAAGACATTCTAACTTATGTAAGTTTGTATTTGTGCGTTGTTCTTGTCAAAGCTGGAAAGCAATTTGATCTCCAAAGACTTTTGTAACCAGTTTTTTTAGTTTCTTGTAGAAAATGATGCGCTGCTAGTTTATCAGCATACATTTTAGAGATTGTGTGAACATATACGACAACCGGTGTTTCTACAGGGCCTAAAAGTTAATGACTACAATAATTTATAGGCATATAATATCAATGAGATTATGTATGCAAGGAAATATACGAATACATAGTATATACACGTACTCTAATATATGTATGTATGCATAATTATAAAACTATGAATATATACCGTAATTATAGTATAATATATTTATTGAAGAGCGTTCTNGTACTCTAATATATGTATGTATGCATAATTATAAAACTATGAATATATACCGTAATTATAGTATAATATATTTATTGAAGAGCGTTCTGTAACCGGCAGGTTTACCGACAAATTCATTTTTACCGCACGAAATCACGGTCGTATTTCCGGTGTAACGAAACTRTTTTGCTTACCGTTATCAATTTGTTATTATATAATATATACATATAA